AACTTAGCACTATCTACAAAAATACACATCCCTGCAAACCAGCAGTCCCACTGCCAATAACTTTTCCTAAAAATACACCACCCCAGACTCTGCCAAATTACCTCTAAGGATGATCAAAATAGCTTTGCAATTTCTGCAGCTAAAATGTCCATCAAGAGGCCTAGTTAAATGAATTATGGTTCATCAATACAATATAATGTTGTACAGCTATCAAAAAGAATAATGGTGGGAGGGGGTAGAGAATGGCAGTCTTGGCCAGTGTTGCTCAGTTGGTTGGAGCGCTGCTATCACTTACACCAAAAGGTCATGGGTTCAATTCCTGGTCAGGCCATATAGCCAGGTAAATGTAAAGTAATTATTTCTTTAAAAAAGAATGGCAGCCTGGCTGGTGTGGCTGCAGAGGTCACTGGGTGATTCCCAGTCAGGGCTCATGCCTGTTGGTTGCGGGCACATCCCCAGTAGGGGGTGTGCAGGGGGCAGCGATCGATTGTTTTTACCCTCTATTCCTCTCCCTTCCTCTCTGTAAAAAAAAAATCAATAAAATACATATTTTTAAGAATAGAACCTTGTTTGACTTACTATTTACTATTGACTGGGGCCCACACACTTCACAGTTCTTATAAAATTAGATGTCGACTTAAACAAAATGGAAAAGGTTCAATACTCGTATTTTCTCTCTGATAGAAAAGATATTCCAAATACATGTTTTAAAACACGAATATCATTTCTATCAGGCATATAACTGAGCAATCGTCTTTCAGCTTTTCCTTTTCTCAAAACCCATCCTGGTCTCCCTTCTTTTTAGGCATCTGCTGTGTTTTTGCCGGTTCCTTCGTTAAAGGCTAAGTAGAACTTTTACCCACGCTCACTGGTTTTATGAAAATTATGTTTCGACAATTTGAGAATTAATTGTACTTTGGCATTGTCTGTAGTTTATACCAAGAAACTCTCACTGTGAGAACGAAGTTGAGTAAGAGAAACAAGACATGCTTAATGGTGCTATTATTATAATCATCCTGTTTTTCAGAGCAAGAAAGTGGAGAAGAGGAGTTGAACTGATTTTCCCACGGCTCAGAGATTCTCGGCTGAGCTGGAGTTTGAAGCCAGCCGGTCTGGCTTGGGTTCATTTCCTTAATCGCCACACTACGCTTGCTCGGCTACTCTATGCTGCTTAACTGGTTCGCTAGCCTCTCAAATTTTTTAAATCAATCCTCTGACTAGAATTGATTTTCAGATAACAAATCAAGCAAAACCCATAACACACTATTCTACACAAAAAGTTGAAACGCTTTCTCTTTGATTCTCTTCAATTTATCAAAATAATGCTGGCTGACAGAGAAATACAAGAACCACATGATTTCACTCATATGTGGAAACTAATGAACAAAATAAACTAACAAAATAGAAACAGACTCATAGGTATGGAGAGCAGACAGACAGCTGTCAGAGGGGATGGGGGTTGCAAGGCTGGGTGAAGAGATTAAGAAAAAAACAAACTCATAGACACGGCCCAGAGAACAGTGATCACCAGAGGGGAAGGGAGGTGAAGGATGTAGCTAAAAAAAAGGGGATGGAAGGAGACTCATACAATACAATATATAGATGATGCAAGCAGCTGGGGGAAGGAAGGCCCGCTCTTGCATGAATTTCATGCATCCGGCCTCTGGTATATGGATAAATGAAACCTGCCAATTATGAGTACTACTGTTGATAATATCAGATACAACTGCCAGTAAACTTTTACCAAAGTTATTACCAAACAATAAAAATAAATGTCTGAATTTCAACTCCATTTCCTTGGTTCCCTTCTGGTACAGGTGTAACTGAGTAGTGACATAACTACAGAAAAGTATCCCAATCCCAGAACACATTAAAACCAAGGAGGCCGCATTGTTTAAATAGATGATGTCCAGGATCCCAAACCAGAAACTGTGGTTCAGTCGGTCTGAGGTGGTGTCTATACCTTGATATTTTTTTTAAGTGTCACAAATTATTTGAAGATAAAACCAGGGCTGAGAAGTTCTGGGTTACTTTAAGAAACAGAATTCAAAGAAAGAATCATTTTGACCTAAAAGTCAGCTGAGCTATTGAACGTCTCAATTTAAAGTTACATTTATACCATGGAATCCCTTGCAGCTGTAAAAAAAAAAAAAGAAGGATCTCTTACCCTTTGAGACAGCATGGAGGGACCTGGAGGGTAGCACGCTAACTGAAATAGCCAGTCAGAGAAAGACAAGCATCACATGACCTCGTGCATGTGTGGAATCTAATGAACACGGTAAACTGAGGAACAAGATAGATCCAGAGACAGGGAAGCTTGCCACAGACTGCGGATTCTCAGCGGGAAGGGGGTTGGGGCAGA